GGATATTCACACAGTCTCACAGTATCATTTCACAGATTACTTAGTAACAGCAAACCGAAAAGATACCTTTACAATGGAGAAATCTGGCATACGGCACTTAAATCAAGTGCCAGAAAATTCAACACTGATAGTAAAGGTACAAAAATGCATGTGATACAATGCACTATTATTATTATATTGCAGTATTACAATTTTCTATAGGTTTGAAGTATTTTCCAAAAAGTTGGAAGTTAAAAGTATAAATACAGTATTATACATCATGAAACACAAAAGAAAAGCTAAAAGGAAGATTATTACATATCAGGGAGGGGAGAATTAAAGTAGCTATCTTGGGATCTATTCATTTCCTTTAACAGGAGGAAACTCTAGGAAAGGGAAGTGATGCAGTTTAGTCTTCGTGTTAACATGATGGTAAGCAGTCCCTCTGGTAGATAGGATAATGAGTTTTTGTTAGGAGGAGGGTCCTTATCTGAAGAATGATCTTAGTAGGCTGTCCCTTGTTAAGGATGCTTAAAATAAACAAACCCAGAATTTACGGGTTTATGAAGTCTGGCACACTGGAGAATATCATGTAAGCTATATAACCTGAGGATATTACATGGAGAAGTTTCAAAATGTAAATGCTCTCTGATATGAGGTAATAACCAGACTCCCTCATTTGGAGACTCTGCGCTAGAAAGTACACGTCTGATGTGGAAAGGAAGGACCTGTGGAATTACATAGAGTCCCAGATCTCTCTCCTTGCTTCACCTGTCCCCTTTGACTATTTGCATCTTTACAATTATTAGTAAAGCTGATTCTAGGTAAGAGCTCTAACACATTGAGTCTGATTTGATAACATATTAGCTCACAAATAAAATTGTCAGAAATAATTATAGTGTAAGATTAATGATACTTTTAATATGATTACTTTCATAGAATAAACGAACAAAATGTCAAGTTGACATAGCTAATTAGCACAGTACAGTGTACTTACAGGCTTCAATAAGGTATCTTTTACCCTGTGAAGGAACTTGTTTAGGCATTCATAGGAAAAAAATTTACCAAAACCACAGTATGTGAAACTATAGAAAAAAACTCAATAACTTTTTAAAAAGCATATATAACCAGAAACATCACAAAATTCTAAAGAGTACATGAATACATACAACGATAAACCTCCAATCTAAGGGGTATACGCAGCCTAGAATACTTCTGAACATGTCCTCTGAAATGGGATTCTCCCTAGAGTTGTGATGAGGTTCAAATGATATGATAATTATATTATTTTGATGATATATCATTTCACTTAACTTTTATGCCTTTACAGATTATAACCTATACTATTTTTTTCGATTTGTGATCTTCTAATGACAACCACTTAGGATCAAGCTGTGCAGAAGCCTGAGACAAAGTGATCCTAACTACTGATTACACGCTCAAAGGTTGGTTTTAATAATAGATTTCAGAATATAAAACTAGGTGAAGAATAAAACAAAAGGAGAGAGTTTTAAACTAGAGGAGAAGAGGTAGCAGGCAGAACAAGGTCTCAAAGAAGAACACATAAATTCTCATATTAAGAATATTCAGGATAGGAAGAAATAACAGCCTTAGAGAGGAAGAGGTTAAAAAAGAATACAGATAGGCCAGGAGTGGTTGCTCACGCCTATAATCCCAGCACTTTGGGAGGCCGATGCAGGCTGATCACCCGAGGTCAGGCGTTTGAGACCGGCCTGGTCAACATGGCAAAACCTCGTCTCTACTAAAAATACAAGTTAGCCAGGCGTGGTGGCAGGCACCTGTAGTCCCAGCTACTCAGGAGGCTGTAGCAGGAGAATCATTTGAACCCAGAAGGCGGAGGTTGCAGTGAGCAGAGATGGGGACACCGCACTCCAGCCTGGGCAACAGAGAGAGACTCCGTCTCAAATAAAAAAAAAAGAAATACAGATATAGGCTACTGTGTATATTTACCTGTGAGGAATTAAAGGATCTGAAGACATGTTGCACATCTTTGGGTCTTTTTTTTCCTAGATATCAAATTTCATGTTTATTAAATTATCTCCTCCAATATCTAGGAAAGTGTCTAGCTATATCATAGGATGTTCTCATCTTACTGAAGCAGTATACTACAGTGGATAACATAATTAGCTTTATAATCAGTTATAAGTTGCTTAATTTCTCTAAGCTTGAGTTTCCTATTCTGTAAGACAGGGATAAAAATGGTATCTACCTAGTGAGACAGTAAATATAAAACACATCATATACTGCCTGGCGCATAGTAAATGCTCAGTAAAAGCTAGTTGTTACTTTCATTATCGAGTAAGAGATTTGTTGCACATTTTGAGTAATTTCAGTATATGTTTGAATTTTACCATCTCCTTTTCCAGCTAAGTAACTTACTGATCTTTAAATGTTGATAGCTAATTTAACTAACTTTCAAAGAAAAAGAAACTGTTTTAGAAGCCAATATTTCTACTAATATCAAAGTTAAAAGTATAGACACTATTAGAAAAGGCAGCAAAGACTTGGGTTTCATACACCATAGTCTATAAAATTAGAACCTATGATTTTAAAGGATAAAGATCAAGTCAATTTTTTTCTTGGTTGGGCAGAAAAAGCAAACTCTCATTTCTAAAAATACTCAGGATTTCTTCACAAAGAAGTCATCCTGCAACAAAATACCCTATTATTATAGAAAGCAAGAATAGGACAGTATGTCATCAATAAGACTATAAAAATGAAGCAGTATCTGAGCCAAGGAAAAAATTTCTCTGGAAAAATAAATAAACAGAGGTCTTTTCTCCAAATTTAATTAAGACTGAGAGTTTGTTTTGTCACCATTTATTTGATACTCTCAAGTAGGTAATAACCACTTCCTAAGAAAATTACAAATGACCTATTAATTAAGAAAAATGCTGTATGTATTTGCTTTGTTTAGAAAAGACAAAAAAATTTGTAAAAGAACCATAAATAAGGAATAAAATTTGACATCTAAGAACAGCAAATATATAGTCTTTCTAGTATTCACTTTATATTTAAATTTATTCCAGTTTTTAAAAAGCATTACAAAAGAAGTTGAAGTCACAGTAGCCAACCCAGTATGCCCTAATTCCTGCTACAAATTCAAGACAGATACATACTATGAATTTTATGAATTCAAGGAATACATAGGCTATGAATTTGGCTTTCTATGATGCAACCATTCCATTGCATAATCACAGTGAAAAATAGAACACAAACCAAACCAAACCAAACCAAACCACAGTAGTGATGTGGTAATCTTGTAAACTACAAACTTTATCACTGAATCAGATTTCCCTTTGCTGATGAGATTCAAAACAAACAAAAAAAGAAAACAGGCTTTACATTTAGATCAAAAAGGACAACTTTTCTTTCTAATTAACTTAACCAAATGTATCACTGAAATTTACAACAGGGAAGTATTCTAAAGATTGAGTATCTTTCGTTCTCAAACTCTTCGTACACTGCATACAAGTTATTATATATAATAAACCATGGAAAGAATGTAGTGTGTGCATGTATATATTTTACATATATCTATATAAATATTTAAATTCCAGTTTATTCCAGTTTTTAAACAGCATTACAAAAGAAGTTAAAGTCAGAGTAGCCAACTATACATTGTGTGTGTATGTGTATATATATACATGCATACACACACACACATACTACATTCTTTCCATGGTAAAATAAAATCAGCAATTATATAGTAGCTCAAAGCCTCTGAATAATTTAAGACTACAAAAATGACTATTCAGAAGAAATTACAGGGAAAAATTTAGGTAGGCAATGTAATTTAGTAAGAACCTTGGTTAAGAGAAAGTGAAAGATAAATTGTAACTTCCTATTTTATTGCTATTTTCAAGGCAAAATCTCTAAAGATTTTATTTCTCATAGGACTATCATTAAAAAAAGGTATATGAAAAAGACTAAATAATCTGCAAACCACAGAGACACAAATCATCACTGACAGTCAAATACAGAATACTTTTTCTTCTTGAATGACTGGATACAAAGGGGATTATAACTTTGAGAAAGAAAAGTTTTATCAGCTGGATTCCATGAATTTTACAAGAGTGTGCAGTGAGGGGAGGGAAGAACACAAGAAACAAATATACTTCATATCAAAGAGTCGTTTCCTAGATGTTTTTATTCAGATTAACTGGGATAACTTTGTCCTATTAAACACTTTAGTATCCCTTTAAAAGGAAGAAAGGGTGAGAAGCTTTGATAACCTAACTCAATTAAAATATTGTTAGACAGTTTTCTTTCTCTTTTACCTAATTCAAAACTTGAAAGTTATACCAAAATATAATAGGCAAACATGCATGCAAAATGACCCTGCAATTAAGAAAATTGCTGGGACCAAATGTTGTTTTTAAGTTCTACAGTAAAACAGTCTCCCAGACATTTAATGTCATGTCATTTGGTAAATGAAAGTTTCCTCAAAGTAACAGCAGCGAGAAGACCTAAAAATTATGCTAGTGAAGAGTCTGACTGAAAAAAAACAAAAACATGGGATCATGTTGGCCTAACACTAATTTTACTTGAAGTTACTACAGAACTGAATAAAATGCAGATACCAATACATAAAATTTATTGAGTTGGCAACAAGGAAAGCATGATGTCAGCCACTAATATCACCATCCACATTCCCAAATAGCGTGAAGACTTTAATTCTCGAACTGACTTCATGTTAAAGTTACACTAAAAATTAAAAACCTGAGGCATGAGGCATTATTAAACATAGATGAATTTAGTTTGGCACAATTTTGACTCAAATTAGCCTAGCACTTTAACAAATTCAGTCAAAAACAGAAAAATGCAAGCTTAAACGTTACAATTTTCTAAATGTACTACATTTTCACCAAATAGATTGATACAAGATATCTCAGGCAACTCTCAAGCATATTCAAGTAAGCAATACCACACACAAACAAAATGCAGGATAACAGGATACTCAGAAACATACGCACATTCACACCCACAGAAGTCCTTACCTTCATGGCATGGATCTCTTCAAGCAATCGTTGCGCCCGTCTTTGGTTTTTTAACAGTGCATCTTCAGTACCCCTGCAAAAAATACATTACAATATGTAGCCAGGCAAAGCATTAATTTTTAGACTCATACTGTAATGGATAATCACTTCATTTCCTTTTAGAAAAGTGTAATAAATCTCTAAACAACAAACACGCCACTATCCTACACTGCCCATTTTCCCCACTCCCAAAGGAAACCTCAATTTACTAAACAAACCCATATGTCAGTAACTGGCAAAAATAAGTACTGTCTTGGCATTGTATTAATGACTATCATTGCTGATAGTTTGCCATCTCTAGTTCCTTAACAACACTTTTTTAATCAATCAATAGTATATTTAATGTAATATAAATTTCGTAAGTTACAATTAGAATTTGGCTACAATTTTATCTAATGAAAATTTGCTCTCTGGAATTTAAGAAAAAAATAAAGAAGAGCTATATTCTGACATATTTATGAAAGAGCAGGAAATTAATCAGGAACAAAACATATTTGAAGGCTAAGTATTCATGCTTACATTATAAGAAGAATTATAAATAAAATACTTTTTCACTAACACTAGTGATACTGAAAATACAAAATACTGTATTTTTCAAAAAAATTACATGGAACACAATGTTCTAATAAACACTTTCACAAGGTACTGAAGATTTCAAATTGCTTAGCAATTCAAGAAAAAATGTGATATAAAATCTTCAAAACTGATTGTTAAGGTATTACTAGATTTGTTAAGCTGTATCAGTATCTTAAAATAACTTCTAATAACATAAAACAGATAAGCCCAAGGGAATTTTATTCTGAAAAGACCAAAAGAGAGTTTTGCAAAAGCAGCAGAAAAATTCATCCTGTATCTTGAGCAATGATGTCCAAACCATAGAAGGGCATGCTGACACAGCACATTCTATCTCACATCATCTCCACATACGAAACAAAAATGCTGTATGAGTAAGATATTTGATTACTTCTCTATATCCCACCCTAAACATTTTAAAGCATCAAATAAAAACAACTTTTGACATTTTATTAGTCACAAGTTCATGACTTTAAATGACTAACTTTTTTGACTTCAGTCTGCCAACACTCCTGACAAGTTTTCGGATAACCAAAACTCGAATTCTCTTCACTTCTTTTCTCATCTTCACAACCTTTGAAGAATAAAGTCATAATTAGAAGAAACACACTTACTTCAGGAACAAACACACTTTATTTTGAGTCTTAATATTGTAGACTTAGTCTACCACTTTACCTTTTTTGTCTAACTATATTCATAGCTTGATGTAATCAAACCTCTTCGATAAATAGTGAAGGAATAAATCAGCAGTGTAAAAATGTGTCTAAGGGCTTAAGAAAAACAAGTTATAATTTTTTAAAAAGTCATGGTATTGCCCGAGATAAGTATTTTAATGTTACACTTATATCTTGCTGGGCTTGGAACACAATAAACAGTGAGTTCCCTGAAATCGGAACCTGTCATATTCATCTTTGTATTCTCACCGTTTAAAACACAGTCTCACTCATAATGGTAGGAATTTAATTTGTTGAATGACTATTTTAATTAGCAATTTATTTTATTTATTTATAAAACAAACCTTTCATTATTTTTAGTAATAAATTATTTCAAGTATAATTTTAAAAGCAGCTCCACAAACACAAGGGCATTGTGTGCAAGCATATGTGCATGTCAACATAAATGCTCCCCCTGCCACACATATACAAATACATACTTTAAATTATCCTACTAGAGAACAAGGTTTAACTCTAAGAACAAAAAACAGAGCTATAGACCAAGAAATGGAAATTCTAGTTATAAAAAAAAATACACATCATAATAGCTTTCAGTGCAATGGCATGTAATCACGGAGTTTATGTTTTGTCTATCACAGTTAGGAGGTATACATCTTAAAAATTACTCCTGGAATGTCCTTCTTCCCCTTCTTCACTTTAGGGACTACATAAAATTCAGTTCCGATATAATCCTTCCAGTGAAACCTTCAATGACTTCCTCAGTTAGAGATAACAACTCCATCCCTGCGGCCCCCACTATACAGATTCTGTCATTAAAGCATCTACCTCACTGCATTGTTACTAATGGCTCACGTGGCTGTCTTTTTCTATAGACAGCAAGCTCCTAGAAAATAGGAGTCTTGTAATATTTATATAGTGTTTTCTTTGTCCTGCAAGAGTGCCTGGCACACAAAATTCCTCAAATTCTTCTTGCCAAAATAACATTATCAACATCATCCTGTGTCTTTAAGGCTCTTCCATTTAATTAATAATATCTTCTCTTACCCTTCACATCATTCACTCCCTTATTCATTGAAGATATTAGCAACCAACTTACAACTTCTTTATACCCTAAGTTCTGCCATCATTCTGTGTAACTTACATGTCCAGTTGAATAGCCCATTTGATAATTATATCTTCACTTCTTTACTTATTTTCTAAAGACCTAATCTATTCTATCTCAGCCATCTACTTCCATGGCTACACTGTCAACCTTGTCTTCATTCATAATATTCAACTTCTAAAACCATTAATTCAAATATTCCACACTGTGATCACAACCTCTATCAGCTTGCTTGCTCAACTCCACCCACCACAACCATCTTTGACTTCATTAGGACCACCAATCCTTTACATGTTCCTCTTTTTATGCAGTTTAGATACATGATAAACACTTGCCAATTTCTTAAACTCCTATCCCTCTGGTTAAGAAACCACAGTCTTGAATGAAAAAAACACTCTGAGTTCTTCATTGTTGTATGCCAATAGCAAATACTTGTAACACTCTGTCTACTATAAATTCATCATAATTAACCTCAAGTGGACCCCCATTCTTTCTAGCCATCCTATATTTTTCTGTTCAATTCACTCTACAATGCCTGTTTTAAACTTTTGCCTACTGTCCTGAATCCTCTAGTCTCCATCCTCCCTTCTTTCTTTCAATTGCATGGAGAAAATAATTATCAGTTGGGGACCATCATTTTTCTACTACCATGAATGCAAATGTACTTCCATGACCCATCTTCCTTTACGAATAAAGTTACAATACAAGATATACCACTACACATATCTGAAGTTAATCTTTTAACTGTCTTTTAGAGCCCATTCTCTTCTGCCTTCCTAGAACCTCTACTATGGATTATCCCTTTACCACAGCATTGTCATTCTCTTCCTTTTAACACATTTCTTTCTCACTGATTTTTAAACATGCTTGAGTCATTTTCATTAGAGACTAAATAAACATCCTCATTACATAGTTCACTAGGACCACCCCCTCTTTAGTTATGTGGAGAATTAAGCTTTTAGAAAGAGACATCCAAACTCAGTATCTCTATTTCTGCATGCCACACAAATCCAGTTTGATTTTCATCCTCATAAAGTCTACTAAAAGATGTCACTAAGGACATCAATGATTTCCAAAAAAGCCCCTGAAATCCAATGGAAATTCGACATTTTTGACCACTTTCTCTTTCTTCAAACATTCTTCCCTTGGTTTTCCAAGACAGTTTTCTTCTTTCCTTTCTACTCACTCTATTTTGATCTTCTTTGAAAATTCATCCACCTCTATCCACTCATAAAATGTTAAGAGTTGAAGAGGCAGTCCCAAGCCAGTGTTTCTTTTCACAATACATTGCTTAGCTCTGGGAGATCTTATGTGTGCATATTTGTCACCTAAACAAAGAGGAGTCAAAAATTTTACCTTCAGCTGAGATCACTCCTTTTAGCTTCAAGCCCAAATGTGCAACTTTCTGCTTGACATTTCTTTCTGAGTGTGCTCAAAATCACCTCAAATTCACACTTAAACTCATGTTCTTCACCTCCAATAAGACCCTTCCCTTCTTTTGTTGGGGAGAGGAGTTTCATATTTCAGGGAATGGAACAATTATTTTAGTTATAAACCTAAGGGTCATTAGAGGTAGCTCTCTTAATCCTTCACAATGAATCTCCAAGTCCTATTAATCTTAAATCCTAACTATCTTTCAAATTGTACCACTTTTTCCCCTACCTTGACCTTTTCACAATCGTGGCTGAGATACTGTTAACTGGTTTCTCCGCACCTATTCTTGCCTCTCTCCAATCAGTTATCCACAATGCCATCAGAATAAAATTTTTTAAAGTATATATCCAATGTCACACCTTTACGTAACTCTTTTTAACGGTCTCCAATCGTTCTCAGAAGAACCACACTGGCCTTTCAGTCCCCTGTCCTCACCATGCTCACTTCTACTACAAAGCCTTTACACCTACCATTTCCACTGGTCAGAATGTTCTTTCTTCCCATGTCAGCTTGTTAACATCTATTCATCCTGATTTTGGACCAACTGTCATTTCTATGAAGAGTTTCTTCTGGCCTCCCTGAGAGGGTCACAAGTACCTTTACTTGGTAACTTAATACTTTACTTTTAATCTGATTATTTTTAATGTGTCTTTCTCCAGTAGGTTATAAATTCTGTGAAGGTCAAGTATCTGGTTTTATCCAACACTGCATCTCAACACCTAACATAGTGCATGGCACACAGTATATGTCCAATAAATACTGGTTAAATAAATGAACAGAAATGTAACAATACACAGTCTATTCACTGTTTCAAATGCATAATATATTTTTAAAATGCACAGTAATCAGGCTTCTTTCCCCCTAGATAAGTTAACCTCTTAGGAATTTGTTTCAAAATTAGACCCATTTAGAAAAAAAACATACTTTGCATAAATGAAAAGGCACACAGACAAGGTTTAAGGAAAAAAAAAAAAAAAGAACTGCCACGTTGCATAAACAGAATTATATGGTGTCATGATACATTTTTAAAAGTTATCCATAAAATAAACTAATAGCAAGTGATGAACTATACATTAAAATATATTAACAAATGTTTCTAATTGCTTAACTTTGCAGGTGCATGAGATGATAATATACCATTTGCTAATCACTGTTAACCAAACTTAACTAATAAACTGCAGAGGGCAGAGTTGGTCCTTGGTTGCAGTCCAATCATAAGAAAGCTTGTCTCCAATTTTAAAATTCCAATTTAAGAAATACTATGTTTGCATTAATGGATAAGGGAACTCTAAAACCAAAAAGAATACCTCATATATTTAAGACTTAGGTTTCCCCAAACACTTAGATTTTTGCAAAACTGAGGACAAATATAGCCTTTAAGTTAGGATTTAAAAGGCTGCCAATTCATTTGTCACCCAGGAGTTATAAAGTTGGTTGACAGACAACTCAGAAGTCAATGAACAGACCTAATACACCAATACTGCCAGAAGTCCAAGTGCACTGCTTAATGGCAGTACTCTTTGGCAAAACTCTAACCAAAAGCAAGAACTATCATTGTTAGAATTGTAAAAACAGTATGATTATTGTTTAGGAGGGAAAGAACAGAGCAATAGTGTGAGCACAGAGAAAACAGAGGCTTAAAAATGTAAATAAAATATGCTGACACAGAAGAAAGCAAATGAAAGAGAAGTAGAAGGGGTCTGAAGACAGAAATTGAAGTGAAGATCTGAAGCCATCACCAACAAGACTGACGAAGCCAAGCCGAGGGGCTTCCAAACAGCAAGAGAACGCATTTAAGACAATCTATAAGATCTAAAGAAAAAGAGTTAAGACTTACATACACAGTGAATATATATGTACTGACAGTGAAGTACCACCTATAAATTAGGCATACAGAGGCCTTTAAAGGTAACCTGGCAAAATCTAAACATAGGGCATCTCTTGTATAGACAATATAAAAATACTATAAATACAATGGAAGTCTAATATAGCTATTTGGGAAAAGACCATGTGAGATGACTCAGAAGAGTCAACATAAACACAGGAAAGGAAACCACAGAGAGGCAAAAGTTGGCAGTGTCCAACTCAAGGAAATTCCAAAGAAAGGGTTCCCCAGCTCAGAGACTTGACAAATCTAATCTGTTCTGGAATAACTCAATTATGGGAACAGATGCATCATAGCTCAACATGAATCATGCAACTAAAACCCCTTTCTGCATTTCTACATACCAAGCAGCTGATGGTCAGTGTATACAGGAAAAGAATGTGTTTTACAATGTGAGCATTACTATGTATATTAGATTTTTTAAAATAAGCTACCTTTCTCATTCACACAATCTCTTATACACTTATGTTTAATATAAATTTGCTTTTTAGAGAATGAGCTCTATTTCTGTGGTGACAATGATAGGAAGTTTCTGATATACAAAGCAGACAGCAGACTTTGGTCCAAAGACAAAATTAAATGCTACTTGAATTGACTTTTGGCTGGCTATGTGTTAGCTGGCCAACTAGTTAGCCTCTGATAATTCACCAACTTTACCATGCTTTTGAGTTAGCC